TATTTTTAACAAGTATTTTACTAGTTAAAAAAATGCTCACAGTAATAAAAAATATTTTTTACAAAAAATATTTGACTAATAAAAGAGAGCTAGACATGTGAATTTAAGAGAAGATATCTGTTGATTTCTTGGACATGAGTGGCATCAGGTTTCCAAAGCAGACACAACACGCACACACACAATTTTCTTGACACGTACTGACTTAGTTCTTGTGATACTCCAACTTACACTAATCATCGGCCAATATAACTTATGCATTCTATACTTTCATAACTAAAAAAAAAAAATTACCTCCCAATGTATGCTCGATTTCAGAGTTTGTCTGACAAACTTTTTCGCTTGACACATTACCTCCTACAATAATCGAAGCTGACGAGTGACCTCCCAGTACACTTTCCGGCCAATTTTTGCACCGGAGAGTGCACATGTCAAACTTTATGAGGCTACTTTTGTCGTTTCAGGTTGTTGTTTGAATTTGAAAGGCCAAAATGGGACTAAATTGACATTAAAGATTCTTGTCACCATAATCGACATTTTCAATTCCGGATTCTCTCCACTTTTTCACTCTCTTCCTTAGAAATTTTTTATTTGAATAAGAATGAGATGAAGATTCTCCTGTCTGGAAGCTTTACTCGCTATACTCGACCATGATTTGAAAGCAGCAGAAAGATGGGGACAAGTCTATCCCATCGGCAAAAAGAGTGTCCCAATTATGGTATGCAAATTTTATTCCATTTTCATCTTGCTATATTAATTTAACTGAAATGGTCTGATGTTGTGGTCCTTTTTCCCCCTTGTCCCACGCGCCCACCCCCGGTTATTGCGTTGTCCTTTTAGAGAACTAAAAAATTTAGGATTTGAATTATAGTTTTCAGTTTTATTGAAATTTCGTTCTTTTTTTGTGTGTTTTTCAACGCCTATAAGTGAGGATGAAGGCTTGTTTATAATCAGATTTTATCATTCTGGACATTTTCTGAATTTAGGAATAAAAATCTATTTTGATGCCAAAGTATCCCATGTAGATTGTTGTCTTGGTGAATTATTATTGCTTGAGATAAGTTCTCTGGCTAAAGAAATAGGGACAACGGAAGAGATTGTTGGCTTTCACTACACAAACATTATGGGCTTGGAAGTGACAGTGATGTTGTTAGAAATTTTATTGATCAAAACAGACTTGTGGGGATTATTGTGGAGCATGAGAAATTGGATGATCATGATGGACTCATTAATAATAATGGTAGAAAGGCATGCTTATATACTGCGAGTGTTCACACTAGGGGCGGTACCGTAATTAACCAACTCTTCAAGTGTGAACGCAACAAACCAAGTAATTACGGTACCGCCCCTAGTGTGAACACTCGCAGTATAACTTTCAACCTCGTCCTGAATCTGTCCTGACTCCTTAGAGCTTCCATCTGTAGATGAACCTTGCAGTTTGCTGATGAGAATGAGGATACTGATGATAATATTGTAAAAAAAAGAGATTTATGCTCAGAATGGGATGATAGTGATGATGCACAATCAGTAGGCTCTGCTTATTAAATTTTTAAAAACTTCGCTGATATCGAATGTGAACTTTCTGATGATGATGATGATTTGTATAAATTGAATGGAGATAACTATGTTAAATGGAGAAGGGGGAGGGGGAGGTAACTGTGAGTCCAATGTTTCTTCCTTCTATAGTGTTTTCAGGCCTAGTTTTCAGAGTAGTTCATATCTTCACAAATGGAACATTGTAGGCACACCTTGCTACTTCCATCAGCCAATCAAGGCACAAAAACATTATAACCGTGAAAAAAATAAATAAATATTATAATTAAAATTATAAAAATAATAATTTTATTTCATAAAATTTTAAATATTGCACTCATACATATTATATTTCAAATTATTGAATACTATAAAGTTGAAGATATTTTAAAAAATAATAAATCAGGGAGAAAAGTTGTTTAAATATAAAGTATAATTGCAATATAATCAAACTTGAAAAAATAATTAATTCAAAATTAAATTATCGAGTTGTATATTTATATATATATACATATATATATATATATATATATATATATGTGTGTGTGTGTGTGTGTGTGTGTGTGTGTGGTTAAGAAAATTATCATTTTAGCAAATTGAGTATAAAATAATAGTATTATTTTAAAAAATATTTAACTTGCAAGCTCCCGTGATATTCATGAGCATTATTAATTGTCGAATAAATTAATTAATCAATTTCATTTTGACAAAAATAAATATACATTAAATAAAATAAATAACATTTAGAAATAAAAATATTTTATAGAATAGGAAATAATATTAAAACATATTTCTTATTTATTATTTATAGTTTTTTAATTCACAATAAATATTTTAATTTTTTCAATTTTTGTTGGATAATTAACTTTTTTTATAAAACACCAGTGTAGTACACAGACATTGTACTAGTAAAATATTATATACAGACATATATCTTATAACTTAGGGCACCCACAACGCCACTTTTTGTTGGCGTTTAAACGCCAGTTGACGTTCAACAGGGATGTGGCCATCCATTAAAATTGTGGGGCCCCCTGTTGCGTTCAATCAGTTGAACGCGTTCAGCCTCCTTTTTATTTTTTATTTTTTTATTTTTTATTTTTGTTTTAAATCAATTGTTTAATCATATTATTTTCTTTTTTTATATTAATTCATTTTTTATCTATCACACTTCTTCAAATTTTATCTATTCTCACACCAACTAAAAAAGTTATTTTTTTTAACTGTACTATTTTTTCTTGTGAAATCTTAATTTAAGTTAATTTGGTCTTGTAGTGTTCCTTTATTTTCAAGCATTTAAAATTTATTATAATAATTTTAAAATATTAAATTTTTATTTTTATTGAGAATAGAATATTAAAATTTATGTTGAATTAGTGGATAATAGGTCTCATATATGTATTTAAATGAATGGATAGAAATGTTGGTGTGTGTTTAAATAGAGAGAGATTTAATGGAAAGATGATGTGGAGATAATGTGGATGAGAGAAAGTGTTACTTTCTGATTGAATGAATGGAAATTGTGTATTTGAGTTGTGGATGCCCTCATAAAATTTTGGGCAAAATTATAAAAATGATGCACTAAGTTGGACGTTGTCAACAGAAGAGACAATTTGTTGTCCCTCACGTAAAAGATACACTTAGTTGGCTTTTTGCACGAAAAAGATACAAATTTACAAAAACGTACGATACACTAAGTGTATCATTTATGCTTGACTTTCGATTGTTTATGCCTGACTTAGTGTATCGTTTTTGTAAATTTGTATTTGTTCGTGCAAAAAGCCAATTAAGTGTATCTTTTCCGTGATGGACAACAAATTGTCTCTTTTTGTTGACAACGCCCAACTTAGTGTATCATTTTTGTAATTTTGCCTAAAATTTTGTTTGAATAGAAGTTCACATAATCGAGTAATAGTATAATTAATTGCGGGTATGCAGTTGTTGGATTTTAGACGTACGAATCAATCGCACACGCAGCGGAATTTTAAAATTTTCTTACCAACAATGAAGATCCGGCTATAGTTAATCGATTTGATCATAGATCTGCGAGAACTTACAGTTTAAGCTTTGCCTTCAACTATGGTATCCACGCAATCCAGATCCCGATGCAGATCCAACGCAGTGAATCCTTTCCGGTGAAGACGCTAGGAATCCCCAGTCAGAAAGCAAAGAGAGTTTTTGAGTTTTTACGGCGTATCTCAATTATCTGATCTCCTACATCTGATATGAGATAACCGCCTATTTATAATTAGGCTAAACCTAATTATATGGGCTTTAGGATAACCTATAGCCCAATAGGCAATTGGACCTAATCCAATTAATGATATAATTAAGTCTAAGTCCAATTAAAACTTAATTATATATTTTCTATCGAATAGAAAATAATCTAATTATTAAAATTAAATATTCCAATCTAATTGAATATTTAACACTCTCGATTCACTCTTAGACGGAAAATGGATTGCATATTGTGTGACCCTATAGGCCTTCATATATTGACATAAATCCGATTTATGATCCTCACGAAACTCCTAGACTGCGTCGAAGGACGAACTCAAAATATGAAGTACGTTTACATAGACAAAGCAAACAAACCTTTGGTGTAGAATTCAATAGTGATACAGTCCCTTCATTCACGAACCACTCGATTAAGCTTAGGATTTGAACGTGTGTCTATACAAACAGCTTAATCATTTTATCTCATCTCACTGGTTGATTTTATCAATTATACTTGAACACTATTTCAAATATAATCACGTGCATTGGCCAATGACTTTATCAACCCAGTATAGAGAAAACGAGTGTTCTCTCGAAACTATATTCGAGGAATGAATCCTATCTTGGCTCAACTACAAATTCCATGTATATCGTGACCTACCCAACACAAGCCCGTATCTACCCATAAGGGCGTAAGCTTTGGACTAGGTCTAAGTAAATCACTCTATACATGAATTACATATTGACCTCAAGTCAAAGGACTATTACACCATTCCACACACCGATACTCCCATAGACACATAAACAAATGGTTTATCGGTAGGGTATACCAATACTCTCCAAAGTATCCATGTGTCCATCACAAATAACAATTATTCATAGTAGTGAGATGGCAAAATTTCAATTTAAGTCCACTAAGTTGGCACTTTTCCGAAATTGGTCCATCATGTAGTCCATCACAAAAATAGTCCACTATGTTGCCAATTTAACCAAATTACATCCATTTTTCATGACGGATTGATAACCTGCTGACTTGGACGGATTATTTGCTTACGTGGGATGTACAAATGCTTACGTCGGATTGATAACCTGCTGACTTGGACGCATTGATAACCTGCTGACTAGATCGATCGACTTATAAATCAAAAGGCACATCTCAATCCCCAATTTCTTTTCAGTTCGACATTCTAAACCCTAATTCCCTAATTCGAGAAGCAGAAGAAAAAATCAGAGCTCAAAAATTTGAGAGAGTCATGTCTTCTTGTTTGCAAGGTTCGTCATCGAACATTTTATGCCTTTGCGGCTTCCCAGCGAAGCTAAGGGCTTCAAAAACAAGCTCAAATCCTGGAAGAAAGTTCTATGGCTGTAGAGATTGGAGGCCGAATGGAGCGGGGGGATGCCCTTTTTTTTCATGGTACGACACAACTGAGATAGGGAAAATGGAAGCTGAAGGCAAAATCACGTCTGTTAAACTTGAATCTGAAATTGGGTCCCTGAAGGAAAAAATGGCAAGGTTGGAATTGCTTGAAGAAGAAACAAAAATCATGAAGCAGAAATATGAGATTGAACTGAAGAAGCTAAACCGAAGAATTTGGAGATTGGAATTGTTGGTATCTTTAACATTTGTTTATGTTTTAATTTCGTATTTTATGAAGTAGTATGAAATAGTAATAGATTGGAACTCTATTTTGGTGAAGATGGAATTGAAGTAGGAAGTAGTGTAATTGAACTGTTTTGCTGTTGTTGTAATGATGGAATTGAATCAGAAATCATGATTGTTGTTGCACTTGAAGATGGATATGTTGGTGTTTTCTGTTTGGAACATTTTTTTTGTGCTGTAATATTTGAATACCTCTTCTTATAAGACAAAGACAAATACCAGGTTCCATAAATCATCCTGCCAACATTCATTCAGTAAAACATCCTGCCAACATTCATTCAAAAGTTGTAAAGGCTGTCCATTCACATTCAAATGTAAAATTCATTCAAATCATAAGTTTCAAAAAGGTTGTCCATAGCAACAATTACAACCAAAACCAACTAAAACCAAAACCAACAACCAAAGTCAATTACAACCAAAACCAACTAAAACCAAAACCAACAACCAAAGTCAATTACAACCAAAACCAACTAAAACCAAAACCAACAACCAAAGTTTTCAAAACTACATAACCATCACAGCACCAACCAAAACCAACAACCAAAACCAACATACTTTTCAAAACCTTCCTACAAACATCAGTCATTGTTCTTTTCTTTTGCCTTTCCTTTGTGCATCCATAGCAGCTGCAAGAGAAGACACAGAAACATACTTAACCCCCCTTTCTTTGAAAATTTCCTTCAATCTTGTATCTCTTTCTGAGAGGCAGGATTCTTGACTTGGAATAAAATGGGCACCAACAATTGGAGGTGGTGCTCTAATGTTCACACCAGAGACTGCTGATGACCCTTGCTGAAACTGAGAGTACATGGATGGTGGTTTCTTGAATTGATTCATATTAGGGGCCAAAGTGAAATGAGACTGTCCACCCTTTGGTTTCTGCTTGGATTTATCCTGCATCACAAATAAATAATACAGTAACTATATTGATTTAACAATAAAAACAGAACAGAGACAAACTATATTACTATATAGTTTTACCTTTGCTGGAGCAACACTTTCTTGGGTTAGAATTGCTGGGGCAGGTTCACT